TTTCTTGCTTGAAAGATTCAAGCATGAATGCTGTGGAGAAGTTTTTAACCAAGCAGAGTTGGGGAAAAAAATGCATACAAATGCTCCATAAGCAGCCTGAACTATTATAATTTAATTCTGCAGGTCAGTCTAATGTGTTTGTTTTTTCCCCTTGAAAAAAATCACATCTTTCTATCTCTTCCCAGCCAAATCATTCACTCTTATAAAACCAGCTTAGTCAAATCAATACCTAGGCTAGCAATGCAAATTTAATTACAGTGAGGTTTGGCTAAACATTAGCTCTAAGACATTTCTTGGTGTGCAGAGTGATAACTGAATTAAGTAGGATTATTTCATCATTACGGGATTAAACCCACATTGTTACACAAGAGAAGCTAATATTTCTAACTCTTTTTAGCCTATAAAATATGCTATAGGCATTTGCATGAGCCAATTTAATATATTTCCTCCTTGAACAGCTATGGAATAGGACTACATTACAGCTACATTTTCAGTGCAGAGTAGAATGTGAAATGAGGGAGGTTCACACTGGACCCCATCCACAGCGCTCAAGCTACCAAAGGATCCCATTATAAGGCAGTGCCACAGACCCGGGTGCCCTTGTTTCCTATAGCCCCTTTAGTTTAATCCCCATGGAACCAGGGTACATTCGCTGTCTTACCTTCCACTGTGTCTGCCTGTCTCACTGTGAAAACCAAATGAGACTTCTCTAAACATAGACACCTCCTTGAAGCCTCTACTCAGGCATTTGCTCTTCTAGGAATCTTTCCCCGACCTTGCTGTCTTTGAGCATTGCTAGATCAGCACACTTGCCTCTTGATAAAACTCGGTCTCTCTTCAAAGCCTGGAAGTAGTTTGATCCTCTTCGGTCTCCGGACCAAGCTCAGGGACTGGTATATATTAGGCATTCAGGACTATGCGTTGAAAAAAATGAATGAATATAATTGAAAAGGTAAGGCATACAAATACCAACTATATGCTCAGTGCTGGGTATACAGACAGAAGACATATTCTCTCATAGCTGAGGAGTTGGTCACGAAGATAGAGACTGTAAAGAGAGGCAGAACAAAAGCCTGCCCTGTTCAGGGCCAAAGCAGTGAGCTGCCAGCGTTAGGGGGCAATTGCTACAGGACAAGTCTACAAAGTGGAATCTTGAAAGCAGGGCCAGACCACTGAAGGAAAGGTAGCCTGGAGCCAGACAAAGGAGGCAGGAGGACAAAGGGGCCATGATTAGCCAAGTCCTCTTATGGAGCTGAAAAGTATTATAATTGTATTGTAGTATAGACAGTAAGAGACCCGGTTCTGATGTCTCCAGACAGAACTGGATTCCAACCCTGATTACATGTTCTGTGGGCAAATCACTTAACATCCCTAAGCCCCAGCTCTCTCATCTGTAAAATGGATGTAAAAATAGTAACTTCCTCATAGGAATGAGAAAAAAATACATAAAGCCCAGAGCTTACATATAAAAATTATTATGCTCATTCCTGATGACATGGCTAGGGTACATTCACAAGGCTTCATCCTAACTGTGGTGGAGGTGAGTTTTGTGGCTGTGAGTGTAAATAGAGGGTCAGTGTGAAGTTTTAAGGTCGCTGTCTCCTCTAGATTTGATCATAAAGGGCAACAGATCATCAGCAGAAGTTTAAATAGAATCCCAGAACACTGTTAACTAGCTTGCACCACCTCCCTACGATATCGGCTTTCTGAAGGTAAAGATCCCAGCTAACGCAGTATTCAGGGTTATGTATGGGATGGCTAGCTAGTGTTCAAGCCTGTGCCATTTGCCCAGTTGGTTAAAGCAAGGCCTATGCCAGTTTTCTTTCTTTTCTTCCTGTTTGCCTGTGTAGTAACTAGTAGACAAATCAACTCTTACTCTTGAATTGTTTCAGGTTTGTCATCTCTCAGTTGTGCTATAATCTCCCTTAAGGGGAAAGGGTAGTTATTGTGCATCATTTATGGCCTCCACAGTATCTCAGCAAAGCTCAACAATCTTCTCTTAGTTACCACTGGCTATTCATTACCAAGGGTTTGACCCTTGATCCTGTGATGCCTGACTCTATGACACTAAGATCCTATAGACCCTACAGAATTCCCCAGGAATATGCTATTTGATACTTTGCTGACATATTAGCTAATAGAGAAATTAGATAAGCTAGTGAGGCTACCTTGTGAAATAATTCTAAAATTATTTTGAGAAATCTAATTTTAAAATTAGTTGGAAAAATACCTCATGGGGTCTGAATTGTCCCTACTACTCTTTTACAAATGTAAAACAAATTCTTAGATGACCCCTCCAATACAACTATTCACCCTATAAATATAGGTCATTTGTAATTTTAAAAAATATTGAATTTAATCATTTATTCATTTAAATATCTCAAATATGTAGCTTATAATGATAAAGCAGGTATTTGTCTTTCATACTGTGCAAGTTCATGGGTGAAAGGCAACCAGACTAAGAGCCAGTAGACGAGGAGGCCTTGACTGTTAAACGTTGATCTTCTCAGGGAGATTTCCAATTTTGCTACTTGTGACACATTGTGTTTTACAGAGGAAAATAAAAATCCTTTCCCCTTTATTATGCTTGAATGACTTACGATCCCCTGACCTTCCATTCCTTTTCTCCCAGACTTGCTATGAGCATTAATTCATTCACACTCTGACATCCAGAGAAAGTTTATTTATGACCCATGCTTTACAAAGTCATTCTATCGAGAGAACACTTATAAGAATACTTTGCAGAGAGATTTTTTAAATGAGTATCAGGATTAAAAATGGCTTATTAGTCGAGTCACCTGGGAAAATTATTTACCCCTTTTGAGCTTCTTTTTCCTATCTGTAACAGGGGGTAATAATTCTCATCTTTCAGGGCTGCTGTGATATGATAATAAATAAACACCACCTCTGACAGTGTGCATGGCACTTGGTAGGTACTTAATAAAAGCAGCATAAGTGCCATATATGTATGTATGTGTGTGTGTATATATATATATATATATATATATATATATAATTTTACAATTTGCAAAGGGTCTGTTTTTCCATACTCTGTTGACTCTGCTCCTCACTGTAAATACTCCCCCCACCACCCTGGAATCCACCCACAAGCAACAACGGTCCCTCCCATAAGCAATCTTCTCAATTATTCAGGAGGTTATTATGAGTTTTTAGTTCTACTTTTTACATATTGCTATCCTATAATATTTGCAGGGGCAAACTCGTCATCACCTTTCTACACTAACTTTTATGTTGTAAAAAATAAAAATTATGGCTTTGATGGCTGGGTCTTGGGCAGAGAGGGATGAGAGAACCATGAAGAATCTTAGGGGGCCGGCCGAGTGGCGCGATGGTTGGAAACTGGCTTGGGACGCCGGAGGGCCCCGGTTCGGATCCCACATGTGAGGGCCAGTGAAGCTGCCCTCTGCAGCTGGGATGCTGAATGGCGGCTCGGCCTGGAGCTGGGCAGCCGTGAGTCGCTGGCGACGGCGGGGGCTGCAGCCCCTGTGGCAGTGGGTTGCCGTGGGCTGCCGTGTGTAGCCAGCAGCCAGCGTGAGCGGCCAGCAGCCAGCGTGAGCGGCCAGGAGCCGCAGTGAGCGGCCGTCCAGAGGCCGGCGACTGATCTGCCTCGCCCGGGAAGAGCGCAATGATAGTGCCAACTTGCACCAGTGAAGCGACGTCCTCCACAGCTAGACTGAAGAACAGAAACGACGGCGGCTTGTCTGGTCCCCTTCCCCCGATTCCCCAGCACTGTTCCCATCCCCCCAATTCCCCAATAAAAATCTAAAAAAAAAAAAAAAGAATCTTAGGGCTCTCTTTAAAAAATATTATTCTCATATATTGAAAAAACAAAGGAGCTTGATTCTCAATAGATAAAATCTACACTCAAACATCCTTGGAATATGCCCTCACTTTACTATGATCTAATCAAATTTGAAAACTCCAAAACTATTGTAGCTACTTTCAAACCAAAAATAGTTTAAAGAATGAAAGAATCAGAGATTTAGTCATCTCAAAGTAATTATTCCATATATCTTAATTTAGAAAATTATAAATCATAACTTACAGCCAACAGTTCAGAGTTCATTTAGTGTCAGAGAATCAAACGCATTCATTTTTCCAGTAGCAAGTAATAATTATGTATTTTAAAAATGTGGTATGGCCTCATTTTAGGATGTATTTCATCAAAATGGGCAGAATCAAAATTAAGTATAAAAACTTTTTTTTTTCCACAAAGATTTTATTGGGGAATTGGGGAAGGGGAACAGCGAAGGAGAACAGCCAAGTTGTCTTTCAATTTTAGTTGTGGAGAGTGCCGGACGGCAGCTCACTGCTGCTCAACTCAAGGAGCCATGTTCAATCTTAGTTGCAGATGGGTGTAGCCCACCATCCCATGCAGGAGTCAAACTGGCAACCTTATTGTTAAGAGCATATGCTCTCACCAGTTGAGCCATCCTGCCATCTGTTGGCAGCTCAGTGGCAGCTCAGCTCAGGCACAGCTCACTGGCCCATGTGGGAATCGAACTGATGACCCTGTTGCTCAGAGTTCGCACTCTTAACCAACTGAGCCACTTGGCCGGCCTAAAATTTTTTTAAAATGTGATGGGCAGGCCTTATGCCTGAACCAGACCTCTGGTTAGGAAGTGTGTAGATAACAACTGCTAGAAACCCTTGCTTATCTAACTTTTCCTTGTTGAACTGTTACGAGATCACTAGGTAAACTAGATGACATTAAAAGGTGATGGTAATCAAATTGCAGTTATGGCAGTGGAAAAGCCACAATGTTGGGTGATATTTATACTGTATCTTGTTTTAACAGTACTTAGCAGGATGATCCAAATCTAATATGTTTTTAGAAGTTGGACTGACAGTGTCTTCTTGCCTCTCTTATGTTTCCACCCCCATAAGTTGCACCTATGTCCCTTGATTAACATCTTAGAAAAATGTTTATTTAGAAAAATGAAAAAACTATTTTTTCCCTTGGCAAATAAACCACACAATTTAAGCTAAAAATAAATATATTTAAATCACTCCAGGCCAAATAATGAGGGTTAATGCAGAAGTTAACTATAAGTAAGCAAATGCTTTAGGCCATTCTTTCGGATTATAAATCTTACAAGTATATTTAAGAAATTTAACTCATGATTAATTATAGAGTATATTATCATAAACTAGTATATTTTGATTACAGTGAAAAAATAGTCTAAGCCCAGAAAAATTTTATGTCTATGATCTTTGTGTGGTTTCTCCAGAGTATCCACTTCTCTCATAACTGTGAAATAATAAATACTAAGTAGTTTAAAAGAATAACCCAGTTACATAAATCCAGTTTATTAGTTGGAAGGAAAATTATATAAAAGTTTTGAGTGGGGCAAATTTATAAAGTACAAATTAGTTCTGTTCCTATATTTAAAATACATCTGATCAGGCTACCAAAAAAAAAAAAGATACACCTAAAAACTTAAAATTCCACATGCTTTTTCATCACTATGCCTTCTTACTTTTGTTCAAAAAGCAGCTTTGCTTTTCAGTATTCAGGATTCTTTTTTTTTTTTTGGTTTTCTTTTGTTTTAGCTCTAAGTATCTTAGTTTTGATCTCAGCTCAGCTTGTCCTTTACCCAAGGCACGCTAAGGACCAGCCAAGATAAGGCTCTACAGATTCCCCACTCCTGGCATTGTCCATGTTCCCCTGCCGACTGCAACACACATTTCCTGGGATCAAGGGTTTGAGGGCTGAAGGACTTGAGAGATCCCGTTCACAAAAGACGCGTTTCAGAGATGCTCTCTGCAACTTCCCTGCCAGCGTATGGGCCCTGCTCTTTGCGCTCCCCAAGTCAGGGTTCATCATGGACCCTGAACACAGCCCTTCCCATCGCTGGAGAGCGGCAGTGGTTTAAGAGTTTTCCCTTGTGTCCAGACCAGCTGTGTGAAGCTGAACAAATCACAGTATCTCCGAATCTGAATTTCTCTAAGAAACTTCCTAGAGGAAATTCAGAAACTTCTTCCTGAAGGGAGAAGGAGGGATGATTTCAAAGGTCATACAAATCGCAGAATTCTTCCTAATTACGTAAATGGAAGTAACTGGAATAAAATGTTGACCTGTAACATCTTTGAGGCTGAAGGATCTCGCCTAATGGGATAGGTCTGTTTAAAAGGCAGAGGCAGTCGTTTTTAAATACCATGCAGTAAGGAATTTTCAACCCTGAGCAAAGGCTCTGTTTCTTATTCCCTAAGGCACACATCCTGGCTGGCCACTCACTCACTCCTTAACCCCCTGCTGACCAGCGTCTGCCACTGGGATTTAGGCTTGACACTCACTGAGCTGTTACCAAGTGTCCAAAGTTTCCCCCAAACCACCACTGCCAAAGTCAGTCTTCCCTCTTCATCTACTTCTCTGCAGCGTTGGTCACTGTTGCCCACTTCCATCTTTTAAAATTCTCCCTTACCCAGTGATTCTCCTTGAACATTTCCTGAACATTCTTTTGTCTCATTCTTTGGCTCCTTCTCCATGCCCACTGTTAAAAATAACCATTCTTTGACTCCCTTATCTTCGCCAGGAAGAATCTTGAACCCGAGCTCTGCTTCTATGCCAGTCACTAATTCACTGTGTGGCCTTAGACAATCCACACCCATCTCTGGGCTTCATTCAAACTGTACCTGAGAAAGGATAGGAGGTGGGCTTGATGACCCAAAACGTCCCTTCCAGCTCTGCAGAGCTATGCTAGTCTATCTTAATCCCATTCCTATATTCCACCAGTATGAGGTGCAGTTTGAGAGAGCCACTGCAAGTCTGTGATGGAGCTAAGACCAACAGGGAACATCACATTCAGTGTGGGAAGGAACCTTAAACATTGCTTAGTCTGAAACTTTCATTTTATAGCTGAGGAAACCTAGGTCCACAGTGGGTACTCAATTACCTCACAGCAGATATGGGGGGTAAGAAGGTGGTCTCCTGGGTTCTCACATTACAAAATTGGAACTCACATGTCTTCCAAACCTGGTTGAAGTGCAGAATGGTATCAGAGTAAAATGTGATATAGGAGGTATAAATTGGTGTAGAACACTTTAGAACCATTTTTGCCCTTAAAAAAATAAACTCTGTACTGTAACTCCAAGAACTCTGGAGAGATATTTGCTACAGTGGGTGCTTTACACAAAGTAGAACAATGTGATCACATAAAACATCTTAGATTTATGTTTTTAAATAGCCAAATAAAATAGAACATCAAGTCACAGAATACATATACTTACATTAATTCAAATATCCAAAGCACAATATAGTAGGATTTAATAGTTCACATAATTTAAAATTTACTTACATAAAAGCATATGAACAGATATTAGTCTACTAGAACAAGGGTTTAAGGAGTTACTCAGACATTTTGATACTGACACCTACATATTTATGGCAACAAATCATGATGGCTTTAAACTTTCAATAAGATCTTTTGTACAAGGATAGGAAATTTACAGAATGGGAAGAAGACAGTTAAACAAATGTACCTTTACTGCACTATTTATCTAACATAATATGGGACGCGGCATTACCCAGTAAGTTTTATCAGGGAAATCTGTTTACTATGGTCTGAAATGATGAATTTAACTGAATTAGTCCCAAATCTAACTTTACTTTGTGCTTTATAAATAACTACTGCTTGGTTCTTTCCAAGTGAAATACGACACCAATGCTTTTCTTGAAAATAACTCAACTTTGGTTCTAATACGTTAGCAACGTCTCTTTTTAAAGAACACTAATACACGAAATTTATTTTTTCTTTCAAGAATCCTGAAGAATAAAAGGACAATGTCAGTCAACTCACCAGCTTTGAAATGATCAGTAGTGCTAAAGGCTAAGATGTTGTGATCTAGAACTTTAACTTGGGAAAACAACCCCATCCTTCTCCGGCCCACTGAGGAACCAAAGTGCTTGACTGTTTCCTACGAACCATTTAAAGAGACCATTTGGTTATATTTCAAAAGCCAGAAACAATTTCTGTCCTATTGTTTGTTTTGCAGACCACACACAAAGGCAGGCACAACATTAAGAAGGTGCCACAAAGGGTGTGTCTGAAAACACGGAATTGACTGAATCTGAGTCAGATTTTACCCTTGTGGACTTTAAGATGCCCTCAGCTATAACCGTTTCACTGGGAAAGAGCCTGACTTTCCCATTCTGCCCTGCTGCAGTATCCTTCAGGGGTTCTAAAAACACCACTCTTTTACCAGCACCTGCCTTCCGTTCATCAGCAGGGGCGTCATTAGCTGGACAGGGATTGAGAATAGACGAATGGGCACTGCTTTGGTTTAGCATATTTTTTTGTCTTTTGGCTTTACACCTGCATGGACACGGGGTCAGATAGAGGTACAAAAGTACCAAAATGATACTGGCCACACAGGCTGCAAGAGTGGTAAAAGCTGTGTTAAATGCCTCATGGGCGTGGGATCTGTTTACGGTGAAATTGCTCACGTTTATTGTGACATCCACAGTTTCATTTAACAGGCGGCGCCTATTCATTGCGATACAGGAATACACTCCAGCGTCCTCAAAACGAGGGTTTTCTATAACCAGGCTTCCATTGTGAAACACGTGAAAGTTTTCCACCTCTTCGTCTGGCACCAGCCGTCTGTTATCTGGACCAACCCACATGAAATCAGTATTTGAACTGCCAGTCTTGCTGTCACAGTGAACAATCAACCTTTCCCCAACTTGAGCCTCATGAATAAAGCCAAGTGCATGGAAGGAGCCATTGATGATACTGTCAGAGCAATTCATAAAGCTATCCTCGAGCAGAAGCACCTGATAGGAGTGCCTAGAGTCAGACCACAGGCGACAGGTATAATCATTCTTAAAATCCATCACTGAGCTAAAGTGCCTACGATACCAGAAGGTCAGCAACGAGTAAAGGGAACAGTCGCAGATAAATGGGTTTCCATGAAGGTAGACGCCTCTCAGCTGCTTTCCTGGCACTGAATTTAAGTGGTGCATTGGCAGGACGGGGATCCGGTTATAAGAAACGTCTAGAAAAGTCAGTTCTGCCAGTTTGAACCTTCCAACATACAAATCCATGGGAAACTGCATGAGAAAGTTTCCACTTAAGTAGAGTTTTTGCAATTGGGAAAGCCCTCCAAATGCTGAAGGATCGAGATAGGAAATGTGATTGTTGTAAAGCAGGAGCACTTCCAGGACCTTCAACTCTTGGAAAACTGCACTTTTCACAGTCTTCAGCTTATTGGATGATAAATCAAGACACTTCAAATTTGGAGTTGTGGAAAAACTGCCCATGGAGATGCTGTTGATGTTGTTATGACGAATAATGAGGGTGTTCAGCTTTCCCAATGTTGCTGGAATCCACTCAGAATCCAGAAGCCCAATTCTGTTATAACTCAGATCCAGTCTCTTAATCAGTCTGAAAAGGTTCCCAGGCACCTTGGACAGGTTTTTGTTGGTGCAGCTCACAATATCAGTGGCACAGATGCAAGCAGTGGGGCACACTCCGGAGACGCCAGGGCTCACAGTCACGGTGATCACCAACAAACACAGCAGTTCCTTGCAGCCAGGTCTGACAACTCCAGGCAGGGTGGGCAGTGTGTGTAAACGCAAAGACATTATGGTCTCCTCTAAGACTCTCCCAGGTGCCTCTGCCACCAGCTCAGCCACCTACCAGTGAACCTGGTAAACAATATTTAAAGAGGGTTAAAAAACAAAAAAGTTTACTACCACCAGTTAACCCCTCATACTGCCACCTTGCTTTCTTTCCAGTAACTTTGAAAATGGAGGTTTCATTTCATACTGGGGAGCCTACATTGTCTTTTTACTGTTAACTGCAATTTTTTCCTGGGTGACTCCTGCTTACAGACATTTACAGCCACAACCTATCAATACAACCGTCTCAACGTCAGAAGCTCAATATTTTTCTAAGGTGCATCCTGCTTTGTTTTTTTATTACTCTCTCCAATAGACGCAATCCAATGCTATAAACAATTAAACGGAAATACTTAGCAAGCCACCCGTCCAGTACACAACTCACAGAGCTGAGAAGCCTTACGGACTCTGGGGATAGGTTGCCGACGGTGGTGTCTTCTGAAGGTCTGTGTGTCTGTCTGTCACTCTTGCATCTTCCGAGTTCCTTTCCCTCTTGTTCCCGGCGGGCGGCAGCCTCTCGCTGGCTCTCAACTTTGGGAGTTTTAAGCAGCCGCGGCGGCAGCAGCAACCCCGGGCGCACAAAACGTCTCCGCCGGCTCCGGTGGATTCTCCCGGGCTCTCTTCATCGCTCGGCTGAAGGTACTGCCTCGGCGCTCCGGCCGTCGTGTGCCCGCGCGCGGGGAGCCCGGCTCCCGGAGCCGGGTCCGAGGGGCGGGGGCGCGGGCAGCCGGAGGGACCCGGCCCCGCCTCTCCGCGCTCCGGAGGTGGCCCCGGTTCTCTTGCGCCTTCGCCTGGGTTTTATCCCCTCGCGGTCGGGGTCGGGTGGGGGGGCGGGGAGATGGGTCCCGCCCCTGCGCGTCCTCCCTCCTGCGGGAACCAGCTCCGAGGCTGAGGACAGGAGCTGGCTGGGCGCGTGGCGTGGGGCACGCGGCGCGGGAAGGGGGCGGCGGCGCAGCCAATCGGAGCAGCGGCCGGCGCCCACCCCGCGGTGTGCCGCCGCCGGCCGCCTTCCTCCTCCCGCTCTCCGCGGACCTGGAAGGGGCGGGCGCGCGGGCGGCACAGGGGTCCGCACCCTAGGCCGGGCTGGCGTCCCGCGGGTGAGAGGCGCTCACCCACTCTGGCCGCCTGCGTCCGTTTGTCCAGTCCAGAATCGGGTGGTGGTGGGCTGTTGGGAGGTTAAAGGGGGCATGCCCGCCCGGGAGGGAGAGGTGGCATCCTTGAAGACCCCACTTAGTCGGGCCGCGAAGGGCCGTTGTGCTCCCCGACCTCTTACAGCTTTCTTTGGGCGAGGGCCAAGCGGGCTTCCAGGGCACTAAGTGCAGTTGATTTCAAAGGTTTACAAAATAAACAGAAGCAGCCTTCCGTCTCCGCCCACATGTGGTGGTGGGGGGGCGGGGTGATTGAGTCTGTTCCCTGTAATGCAACAGGGTTCCCTGGTTGAGGAACCAGGAAGGCGCGGCGAGGACACTCCGAACCTCCCTGGGAAAGTTCTATCCCTTTCCTAACTCAGAAGGCGGCATCAGGGATGGTTCCCAATTCGCGGAGGAGGAGCACAGGAAAAAGGGCTTGGAGTGGACCTTCCGGCTGGAGTGCAAAGATAAGGTTATTGAGCTTTAAAAACATATCCGGCTTGCTCTGGACAGGGACCGGTCCCAGGAGTGTCTGCGCGGAGATTCTTCATCCGTTCCTGTACTGGGGGGCAGTGGGGGAACTGGGAGTGCTACCGGGGCGCCGGACTCAAGCGTGCTTTGGCCCAGCAGGCAAGGAAAAGTGCAAGCCCAGGTAAACCAAAAAAAAAAAAAAAAAAGCTAAGGTGAACAAATATGTGAGATGGAGGGCATAGGGCTGATGAGCTTTTAGATTAAAAATCCGTTTTTTGTTTAATTCCGGGATCAATTTTAACGATGGGATTTGACTGAGCCAAATGGCCCATTTGTCCATTTTATCCAGATTAAAAGAAATAAATCACTGCCCTGATAAGAGATACTAACCAAAGCAGAAGGAATGGAGACACTGAGAAGAGGACCAAATTGAGAAAACAATTGGGGTCAGGGCGCATACCTTGTAATATGATTTAAAAGAATGAAAACGATGACAACCAGCTCCCACCATCACCACCGCCACCACACACACACACACACACACACACACACACACACACACACTCGCTTGAGCAACTTGAATTTAGTGAGAACTGGTCCCTACAATGTCCTTGAGTGGATTCACTTGGTTGCACAGATCTCCAGTGCCATATTGAAATAGAGTTCTGTGTATTGTGCATTCCTCACTGGGAGCTCCCAGGGGAGAGGCAGAGGATGAGATTTTTCTAAAGTTAGGCAACACTTCCTGGGGTTCTCAAAAACAGCTTGGTCTCTGGGCCTTCGTTTTTACAGTTAGAATGGTTAACACGGAGAAATAGAATGAAAATTACTCGGGAATACTTTTTAAATGACTAATAAATGACTAGCTTTCTCAGTATTTTACTAAGTAACTACCATCCTATTCAAAGGAAACCATGGAAGCAGAAAAAAAGACCTATGTTTAATACAAAAATAGTCTAAAAAGAATAAGTGACTTTCAAAAATGGAAACAAGGTTACATTATTATAGCTGCAGTCACATCATAGAAACATTATGCAAAGATTACACAGCATAAATAAACTAAATGCACTCAAAATTCACAGACCAGTTTATTTCTCTATTTGAAGACCAGATTTGGGGATTCTGTCATTTGTCAAGGGGAAAGGAGTTGTGAAAGAGGGTGGGTTCACTTAGCTTGGAAAAGAGAAAGCCAAGAGTTGACCTTAATAATAAGATGTGACTTTATTTTGTGGAGGATAACTTTTTAATCTTTCTGGTGTCCCTTCACCTTTCTCTCTACCTGGTCCACTCTTTCCACTAGAAGGTAAATTCCACAAGGGCAGAAATTTGATGTCTTAGTCACTGCTTTTTTCTTAGCTCCTAGAACCCTGCTTGACACTTGCTTGGCATTCAAGATTTTTGATGAACTGGTAAATGGGGAACCTATTCTAGGCTTACCTCACCTGGGTCTGCAGGTTACCATCCTGCTCTATACACTTTGAAATATTTGTGCGAAAGATGAGGGCATGATAGGGAAAGAGGAACCCTGCGAACATGGAGTCCTAGATCCAGTAGCGCCTGAAGGCCACTGCACATTTTACTTCCTTTTAAAACATTCTCCACTCCTTCCCTCTTTTTGGCTTAAATGATTTTGAGTTGTGTTTATGTCACTTGTGACTGAAAGAGTCCCCGTGATCCTGTGATGCAGGTAGGGCGAATCCCCCGAAATGGGGATTCAAGCCCTGGGCCAAGAAGGGTCTTGGCTTCACCTAGGAAAGAATGCAAACGTGAGCCATATAGCGTTTAAAGTGAAAGTAAGTTTATTTAGCAGAGAGTCAGTAAAAAAAGGCCACCCCACAGGTAGAGTCACTGGTGGAAGAGAGACCCTCTCTGCCCGTAGGGGCAAGGTTTACTGTGTTTCTCGTTTCCATGGAAAATTTCTTGGTATGAGGGGAAACGGAGGAAAGAACATTGGTGAGTTTATCTTTAACTTCAGCAAAGGCACACAAAGAATAGGGGCAGGTTTATCTTTAACTTTTGTAAGGGGCAGCCTGTGGCTAGTTTGTGATAGGTTTAATTACAGGAATGGCCATTACAATGGAATCTCTTTGCTTGATAGGCTTCGAATGGTCTGTTCTGTGTGACTAATGTCTGCCGAGTTCTTCGTCTGGTGGCATGTAGCAGGCCTGGAATCCAGTCTCCGTTTCTTTTTTTGTAAAAATAGTCCTGATGCCCCTTCCCTATATTACTGGTACATGTAATGACGGTAACAGTAAATATGTATTGGGCCATTATGATGTGCCAAAGACTGAGCTATGTTTTACATGCATTATTTCATTTGATGTTCACATAACCCTGTGACATTGTATAATTCTATAACCCAGATGGTAATTGTGTTCCAAATTATTTGAAAATGGAATGAGATGAATTTAGCTTGAGGCTCCACTTGAAGGATTTAGATTAAACAGAAGAGAGATGTTTGTGACAGGACGGTCCCAGCCTAGAATGGGTTGCCAAGACCGATGGCGGAGTTGCCTTCTCAGGAGTTTAAAATAGGGCAGATAGCTATTCCTCTGGCCTTTTCCACATGACACAATCTATTGGTATTTTTTACCATTCAACAATGATTCCAACGGATTGTAGAAAGTGGATTGACATTTGACATGATTCTGAATCTAGGGTGCTGAGGTGGGTGTGGTCATGGGGGTGTCTGGCTGTGTCTGGAAGTAACTCCTGTGTGGGAGCAAGGATCTGAGTAGATGAAATCTCTGGGGTTCTTCTGGCCCTGTGACTTCCAGAATTTCTCAGGTTGCAATCAGAATCTTAAGAAATTAGAGCTATGAGACAAGAAATTGTTAGAGCACTAGCTTGATGATTCGGAGTCATTCTTAGCAATAATGAACACTTTAATGGTGCTTTATAACTTATGAAGGGCCTTCATATGCCATATCTCATATAGCATGCACCCTGTAATCAGGTACAGTTGGGACACCAGCAGATATCTAATGTTGCCTCTTTTTTATTTTTTTATTTTATTTTATTTTTTTGCTGAGCCACCTGTTGGCAGCTCAGCTCGGGCCGGGAATTGCTGTTGCTCAGAGCTCGCACTCTTGAGCGAGCTCTTAACCAACTGAGCCACTCGACCGGCCCTGTGTGTACCTCATATTTGTTTGTTTATTTATTTTATTGTTAGTTTCAGGTGTACAGAACAACGCAATAGTTATCCTTTACACCCCTAACAAAGTAACAACCTCCCTCCCCCCATCTACTGCCCTCCCACCCCCGATATCATGCTTATCTATTACAATTCCATTGACTCCATTCCTACTCTCTACTCCACATCCCATGACTATGTGTATATATAATTATAGTTGACATACAATATTACTCAACATCAGCTTCAGAAATACAGTGCGGTCGTCAGACCTCTACACCGACTATGAAGTGGTCTCCCCAATAAGACATGAGTCCAACTGGCCCCCTAAGAAATATTTACAACATTATTGATTATATTCCCCAGACTGTCTTTTCTATCCCTGAGGCCATATTGTAGTTACCAGTTTGTATTATGTGTACCTCTTTTTTAATCTGGGGGCACATCAATGTTGTTCGGAGACAGTGCTCTCTGGGAACGCTAGCTCTGCAGGAGCCTGAGGGCTGCACACAGGAGCTTTCTCTTGAAGTGTCCTCACACTGGAGGTGGCCCTCTTGGTAGGGTTTTCATAATGATTGGAGCCTTGGCCCATGGGAAATCCATACCTTTGCCCACTAGCTCTGGAAGTGCCCTCCGCTCCTGCAACAGCCCGTTCTTTTTTGGGCTCGCTCCAGCTGATTTTTTTAATTACCCAAGATTTGTGGTAGAACCATATTTCTCGCTATATGGAGACACGGGCCCTAACCCCTGTGCTCTCTGAACCCCAGGAGGCCTATGGCAACTTGTGGCTCTATTCTCTGGAAGCACCTTAGGCTAGACATGCAGGGGCTGGGAGAGATGTGCAAGTAAGACCCACATGCCTTCCCACAGTGGGACAGTTCTTTAAGCAACCCCCATTCACCTATCTAATCTTTCTATCTCCTGTCTTCATGGACAGAGACTGGATAGGTTCTTGTTGAAAAACATTTAGTTGAGATAAAATACACTATTTGATGATTTTAAAGTATACTATTCAGGGCTGGCCAAGTGGCTCAGTTGGTTAAGAGCTCGCTCAAGCGTGTGAGCTCTGAGCAACAGCGGTTTGATGCCCAGCCTGAGCTGAGCTGCCGCTGAGCTGCCAACAGGTGGCAGGATGGCTCAGCTAAAAATAAATAAAACGTAAATAAAGTATACTATTCAGTGATTTTTAATATACTCACATTATTGTGCAACCATCACCACTATCTAATTCCAGAATAATTTCATCACCCCCAAAAGAAGACCTTGTACCCATTAAGCAATAACTCCCATTCCCCTCTTCCTCCCAGCCCCTGGCACCACTAACCTATTTTGTGTCACTATGGATTTGCCCATTCTGGACATTTCATATAAATGAAATCATACAATATGTGGCCTTTATGTCTGGCATCTTTCACTTAGCATAATGTTTTCAAGGTTTGTTTGGGATTTTTTGGCTAAAGTTTGTAGAACCAGTTGGGATCATCCCTTTGAAAGATTTGCATAATTGGTTTAGCTACACTTGAGCTTAGAATGTGGGACATCTGCCCCCTATCCTTGCCAGTCTTGAGGCCCAGAGTCCCATGTACACAGTCTTCAATTATGCAAGTATTAAATCCCTGTGTGATTACAAAAACCTAGCAGTTTTATGAGCTGAGGAGATCTAAGTTCTAGTCTTGGGAAAAAATGCTTTAATCTCTCCATAAACCCCAAGAAGCACTAAAGGATATGACAATTAATGATTTAAGTGCCTTTCAACTTCAAGAAATAAATCCAATTTTCTGATAGCAATGTGTCTGCTGTTACCCAGGCCCCAGGAACACAGACTGTTAGAACACAGGTTCTAACAAGTTAGAGCAGGCCTGGGTTTA